GTTTCCTAGAAGCAGGAGATGGACACTGGAATAGAACCTGTGAGTTTATGTAGCAGGGTCTTTGTTCTCAAATAATTTCTAATGTTGTTCTTCTATAGTGTTTTTTCTTTGAAAAAATGGTAACATAATGCTGGGAAAGGTTAAAGATAGTAGGAAAAGAGGAAGACCAAATACAAGATGGACTGATTATCTAAGGGAAGTCACAGGCTTGAGTTTGCAAGAGCTGAATAGGGGACCTGATAGTTTGGAGATCACTTTTTCATATGGTTGTCATAAGTTGGAGGTGACTTGATGGCACATAACAACAACTTGTCTTAGTTTTGAAGTGTAGCATTCAACATAAGATTTCCCCTAGCCGCACGCATCCTGTGATGAAATTGCCTTAGAGAGGACCTGAACAATCAGATTTGTGAATTAAGCCTGTGTTGACCTTTCAGTGACCAATCAGATCATGTGGCCGAAAGGAAAGATGCTAAATGCAACTTAGGCAGATGAGTAAAACTGCATGCTGTGTGTCATAATGAACATACAGTATATGTTTAGTATTTTTTCAGGAGCCTTCTAAAGTAACGAAATAAAAGCATCCTTCATTACAAAGAGCTTCGTGGGGCAGTGGTTAAACTGCTGTACCACAGGCCAAACTGTACTCACGACCTGGGTTTCAATCCCAGGTAGCCAGCTCAAGGTTGACTCAGCCGTCTATCCTTCCGAGGTCGGTAAAATGAGTACCCAGCTTGCTGGGGAGGCAATGTGTAGCCTGCATAATTAACTTGTAAACCGCCCAGAGAGTGCTTGAAGCACTATGGGGCAGTATATAAGCAGCATGCTTTGCTTTGCTTTTACTTTAGAAGGCTCCTGAAAAAAATACTAAACATATAAGTCAGAACCCCATCATTTTTTTCTGCATATGCAATGGTCTCATTGTATATTCTGTTGCCAAAATATGCCATTGGTGCAAGAAGGGATACAATATCTAGTGTCATAGAAGCATAAACCCCATTGTTTCTAAAACAGTCATCTCCAATTTGTGAGATTAAGAGATGGATATTGATAGAGTATGGTGAAACACTCCGCCTAAGGAATGTTTATGCTCTGCTAGTAATAGGATTGTAGTCGGAGACTACTACTAGGGTACTGGACACCATCAAGAGAAAACACAAAACCTTGAAGGAGATTTTTGGGTAGATACTGACATCAACCCTGCTAGTTGAAAAGTCACAGCACATCAGCTGTGCAAACCCTAGCCCCTCTAAAACATTGGCAGAAACATTTCACAAAATATAGGATAGTTAAGCCTGGTGTCACGAGAAAAGGCTTACCATAATTTCTGTTGGAACGGGAAGAGCCAACATCACTAGCTTGACAGAGAATATATTTAGTCTGGCATAGTAGTCACACAGTGTGAGTATCCCAATGTTATTTCTGTTATTTGCTCCAGGCTTCAAGGGTTTTATAATACCTCTCAGGTCACATGGAAGAGGCAAGTATATGGATTGATTTTCAGCATGTGTACAGTTTCAGGGTACCTTGACGTGCAACTTTGCTGAAATTGTTCCCTGTTAGAAGTTCATTTGATAAACATGAAAGACCATTTCACATCAGGCTATTTGCCTGCAGTGGGGGAAACATAAGTCACACACCAAGCTCAGTGCAAGTAAAAGTATCCACTCTGTAAGCCTTCTAGAAATGGAGTGGTGGAGCAAATGGTCGCTGTCACGTGGATAAAACATCATTCCGGCCTTAGAAACCAGGCCACTGCAGTCACGTCTGCTTGGCTGATTCCCATGTATTTGTTGCAGCCGTGGGGTGACTTTCCCATAACTTCTTTCTCTGTATGAAGAAATGATGTCAATAAGGCTAAGAAGAAGATACGCATTTGTATGAGAGAAAACCACCTATTTGGTCTTCAAGTTGTTTACTTGAGACACATGCTCCCAGACTGTAGGAAGAAGTCATGAGAAAGGGACTCTCACACCACTCCTGCAAACTGTCAAAGAGGCAAGGTCAGTGGACAGCAGGGCTCAGCTTCCTCTTCTTTTGAGCTTTAATGTCAGGCTCAGCTTTAGGCAGAATCGGGCAGCCATCCAATGGGACAGCACAGCAGCAATTTTTATACTATATGTATAATGCTAGAGTGGGAACAGTGCTGAGAGATTCTTAGCATCATATGCCAAACTACTATGCCTGGCTTTTAGTTCTGTGTGACTTCCCTTGAAAGGACGTGGACATTTGCTACTCAACTTGAGACAGAAAAATCTGAAGACTTCTGTGTCCCAACAATCTGTCAAAGGCACTCAGTAGCTGAACAGCTAGGCTTACCTTGGGAAAAATTACATTCTGTACAGAGCCAAAATTACAGTGGTGCCTCGCTTAATGAGGATAATCCGTTCCAGCGAAATCGCTGTAGAGCAAAATCCTCGTTAAGCGAAATAAAAAATCCCATTGAAACACATTGAAAACCTGTTCAATGTGTTCCAATGGGCTGAATAACTCACCATCCAGCGAAGAGCCTCCATAGGGGCGGCCATTTTCGGTGCCCGTAAAGCGAGGAATCCAAAAACACAGGGGGAGCCATTTTACACAGTGGGCGGCCATTTTGAAGCTGCCGATCAGCTGTTTTTAAAACGTCGTCTAGCGAAAAATCGGTTCCCGAAGCAGGGAACCGATCATCGGGAAGCGAATATTGCCTATTAAGACATAATTTTGCCATCGCAAAACAGTCATCATATAGCAGTTTCATCATTTAACGAGGCAATCATTAAGCGAGGCACCACTGTATAGTGTTGATAGGCCCCAGGGTGCCATTGGATGTTTGAGGGAACATCAGACAGGAAGACAGATCTCAGAATGAGGGAGAACGTTTGATTTTTGTGACAGAAGGTAGCTTTCAAGCCTGACACCCATCTCCATTTATTTCCAGCTGACATTGGGAAGGCCCGTTGCTTCAACATGGAAGCCTTTGAACATGTGTGGTAGTTCACCAACAGTGACATAATAAAACGCCAGGAAGGAGGGGAGGGGACATAACCTTGGTCCCACTGTGTTATTTGGAGAAAGAATCACAAAATCCTAGAATAACTGAGTTAGAAGGGGCTTAGAAGGCCATCAGGTCCAACCCCCTGCTCAATGCAGGAATCCTAATCAAAGCAGATTAAGAACAGATCCTGCCCCTCTTCCGTATTACCACCTTTCAAGTATTTGAAAAATGCGATCACATCTGCTCTTAAGTCTTCTTTTCTCAAGGCTAACATGCCCAGTTACCTTTCATCATGGGATGAAAGCCAGTGTTACATAGAGGACAGCATGCCAGCCTAGGACTCAGGGGACCCAAATTCAAATATCTGCTCAACCACAGGGTGGTGGCAATAGTAAAACCACTTGTTAAATATTTCACATACCTTGAAAATCCTATTAGGGTCGCCATTAAGCCAGATATGACATGATGGCACATACCAACAAGCAACTAAAGTGACAGAACTGTGACTTGTGAGCCTTCTTGTTGTACAGCTAGTGGCAGTAGCAGCACATGACCTGGACAAAGCTCCTGGGATTGGTGGTGAACCTTCTATACACCCTAGCAGCAATGCAGGGCCTGAAAAATCTCCCCACAATAAATGTACGCTGTGCTAAAGAGGAGTCAAACCCCAGCAGGTATGGCCAAAAGTACAGCCATTATTGAACTTATTTTACCATCTACTTGACTGCTAAAACAACAGTAACTACAGCAACAATGTTTTCCTCCCAGTTACAATGACAATAAATTATTATTATTATCTTGTTAGCTGGCTTTTATCTGGACTTGGGATCTATTGATCTGGATTGCCTTCATGCCTGTTTCCTCAATCAGATGGCCAAAAAACAGTTCTCCTTGCCTGCCTTGCCTATATGACCTTACAAGACTCCGCCCCAGTGGCATCGTATGTCTTTGTCCCCTGGCCTTAAGTTTTGACTACTAAATTACCAGACATTTTCTGTGTGGCACCAGTGGAGATGGAGCAGTGGGTTATCATATGTGGGCTTGAGCATAGGACTTCAGTTCTGTAAAACTTGATTTTGTATTTTACATTATGATAAAGGATAGATTTAACGAACACTACGATTTTGGCAGGTCCTGTTTTTCTTTTACTTTTTAGCAAATAAAACACTTTTCCAAACATTAATTTTGATGAAATTTAGACTGTAGATTCTCTGGGGTGTAAGAATTGCATAGTGTATGACAATCTGAAAAGCACTGTGTTCATTTCTGCTGTTATATAAATAATATCTGCTGCAATAATGGCAAAGAACCTATTCTGTTTTAATTCTGATGTACTTGTAAATGTTTATTACACAAAAATAGAACTATT